TAGACTAAGCACTTGTAACAAATTATTGGACATATACAATTTTTAATGTATAAAAAAAAGACCGCTTATTGATAAAAATTGAATATGAACTGACTAAACTTATGTGAGTTGTATATATTATGTGAATTGATCATTAACCACATTGTAACATTCATAGAACCATACCAAAAAAAATCCCACATCTTGGGTTTAGAAAAACCTTACTATTATTTGTTTTCATGTTTTCTCTATTCATATTAAAACTATGAATTTAGTATCATTTAGAAATTCATATTAAAATGTATTTATAAAATATAAGGATCATAAAATTAGACTATGACTATAATAATTTAATATGTTGTTTTCTGTTCTATTTTAATGAATGATTTTTTTTATGTAGTTATAGGTAAGAATTTAATTTTGTCGTTGTTAGAGGGATTTAATAATTTTTTATATTGAGGTTTAATTGTTCATAAACTACAAATGATCATTATTTGGTCGTTTTTTTAATCATGTAATTAATGTAGGAATTGATTTTGAGTTAATTTGGTCTTTTAATTTTCATCTAAACTTTATGTTTTTAATAATTTATTAAGAAAAATCAATTGAACTCGATCTTTGTAGTTACACAACTAAGACTAAGTCATATATCTAAAATAAAATGAAGTTTATCTTTTAATTGTATTGTTATTTTTATTCTTTGAATTTTTTTTAAAAAGAATTTTTTTTTATTGTTTAATTAAGATAAATACCTATAAATAAATTATGAAATTTTCTCAAAACATCAGTCTATAATTTTTGTTGGAAACATATTCCACAAATCAGTAAAATGTAACTATGGATGTTTAGAAAATTTCTCAATAATATTTTATGTATTACTTAAAAGTACATAATTGATAATATAATAGTTTTGTTGAACTAGTTAAAATAAATAAAGATGGGAAAATATTTTTGAAAGATAAAAGAAACAAAAGCAAATATCAATTGGATGTATATACTCAATTTGCTATATGTTTTTTTATTTGTCTTAAAATTAGTAAAGCAAAACAAAATTAATTAGTGCCACTTATTAGATGAAAATAGAGTGACACATGTCAAAAAAATTATGAGAAACATGGCAGCCTCTCATAGCTTAGGTTTAGAAAAACCTTACAATATTCTATAAGATTGTAGTATTTCTCTATATATAGAGGCAAAAGTAGAGAATTGCTATTTTTTCCTCGATATTATAGCAATTCATCTCAAATAGAAACACATTAGAGAAGAAATAGAGAAATGATATAATATTTTTAAAGAAAAATTTGCTATATTGACTCAGTTTGAAATTGGGAATGTCTCAATAAACTTTATATACATATCTTTTTGTCCCAATAATCTTTGATATTTTCATAACCCAATTTTAGCCTTCAATATTAGTAAAAATGAATTTTTTTAAATATTTTCGGAATTTAAAAAAAAACAGAATATTCATTTTTTGCGGTTTTCTTTTTTAACATACAAAAAATATAAAAAAATCAAACTAAATATCAAACTAAAAAAACAAGGGAAAACTAGC